CAATAGCTCAAAGATAGTCATTAATGACCGGAAACAAGTACACAAGACTTGATTTATCCAACTCCATTTGACCCCTCCAAGCCAATCTATTCCAAATTCATTAACTAATGAAAAGCGAATGAACGGAATGCATAACAATAACGATGTGGACTAACGAGAAAATAAGAATTTAATCAGAAACCGGACAAATCTAAGTGGAATGCAGAGAAATAGAGGATAAATTCATCATCACACCCGCCGTGAACCAGAAGCGCTGGTAGAATTAAACCTGGAGTAAATCTCTAATAGTATTATCTGTATAATGACCTGAATGGTTTCCCAATGGCTGCAGAAACGAGGTAGACTCCAGCCTCCGCTATATGAAAGACAAGTAGAATTCAATAAAGATTTAATATCGGCTCAGCGATAGTGACAGAAAGGTTAATCCAATAAATCTAGCATAAGTCCGACGAGTTTTGCTGAAAGAATCGAGATTTGAATCTCTATCATAAAACTTCACACGTAATTTAGATTTATCAGTGATAATGGATTAGTAGTCAACGCGAAGATATGGGACATATATGTAACAAGACTTGAGCTACGCCAAAACAACTGAAAAGAAATCTTATATATAAATTGACTTGATCTGTCTCTGAGGAGTTGTGATATGGTACCAACAATGCCTAGGCTCTTGAACAATGCCGATTAATGTACGACCCTGGAAATTATCACAACTACTGCAACGCCCTCCGGACAAAGGTGCTTCATCTGAGTCTCTCTGGGAAACGACCAAGTTTAAAATGAGTCTAAACCACCTCTATCCTACAAAAATTCGTAGAAAGTTGCATAGAAGCTACTGACTTGGCACCTGCCTAAATAGACGTGGTGGATGAGAGTTTCAAGAGTTAAGTAATAAGTCTATTATAGCCTGATACCAATGCTCAGCAAGCCCTATTATATGTAGCTTGTAGCGGAAAAGCACAAGTAAATATTTCAGTGTGATGCATATTGAGAAGAAGTAAAGCGAAATAGAGAGGTTCGCATCCCATGCAATTATATAAGCTAAGGCCTTGTAGTATAAAAAATAATTGCAGGTTAGGTGACAATCAAAGAAGCAACATAATCAGATTGGTGATGCCTTCTGTTTATGGATTACACCATCACATCTTAGGTCAATATGATGTATCAATGAAACACTTGCAGTTCATCCAATAATGGCCATAACAAAAGACCAGAACGAGATTGATGAATAATTTGGCTCAAAAATGATGTTTAGAAGGAATGTGCACTCGTATAAGTAACCCAAGAGTAAAAAACTAAAAAAAGGCTAAACCCATAGTCATGTCGAACAATATACGAAAGAGGTAAGAATGGGGTACAATCATAAGAAAAATGAGTGAATTTTATTTGTTCATTTATCTATTTACAAATAAGTGTAAAGTCAAAATTTTGGCAGGTCACTTTTACATGACCAATAGTGAGACAAAATGCTGAAGTATAATGTACATGCCAAAAAATACAATTCCGTATGTAAATGAAACACTTCATGGCAATGAGATGGATGGCGAATAAAACCGGACCCGAGTTTCTCAAGGTGAAGCCTTTGGCCTGTCCAAAACGCAATAGCAAGCAAGGGCCAAATTAAGAAGAATCCATCTTATTTAATGAACTAAGATGAAGACTCGATTGGCTCACCCAAGCGCCAAAAGCGAATTTCCTTATCACTATTTAGAAAGACGAAAAACAGAATAGTAATTAATTAAAAATGAAAAGAGTAAATAAGAATAAATAAGGTCCCGATATTTGGGCGGAAAAATATAAACTTTTGTTTTCATTCTAGTCGGATTAGTGTAAATGTGAGTCTGAATAGGAATGTGATAACATGCCAATTAATATTTGAATAATTAATATGTGAGCAAGGCTTCGAGGCAAGGAAAGGGTAAATAGAGCAACCATTTTTAAATAAAAGTTGACCAATAAGGTTGGTTTGACCTCGTCTTCACAACTTGATCTCAGCAACAAATATACATAGTTCTGTGTTCTCTTTCATACTATTTATCATCTCGGGCATAGAATGATTGAATTAGTATATTGCCAGACGATTTGTCAGAATCGTAAATGAGAGGCACTATAGCTAGAACAGTTACAACTTATCAAGGTAATAAGTTAAGGCAATTCCCTTAGACAACTCTTTATGTTTAATTGGTGTTGCATCATTCCTTGAATCTATTTCTTTTTTTATTTACATAACATGGGTATTCATCTATCTACACCATTCTATGTTTCCATTTCCCTTAATGACGCCTAAGAGTGTAAAGCTTCAAATTGATTTAAAAAGCAAGACTACTTTAATCATCGATTCGAGGTGCCATTAGCAAGGCTTCTGACTTTCATTTACCAAGCATTTACACTTTTCAGTTTTTTTAAATGCTACAAATCTTAATCACTGTCTGATTGCCTGAAGTCTGACTGTCTATCAGCCTTCAATTCCGATCCTCATTCGCCAATTCGAGGATTTAAAACAGGATAACTGAGTCATATCTCTGGAGGTAAATAGGCTATATTAAGTGGGAAAGATAGAAAAAGGGATACACTAATAGAAAATAGGATAAAAAAGATGGATAATAAGTGACGTCACAAAGATTTAACGTAAAATTGGTTAAATGGATTGCCTCCACTTGTCACTGATAAATTGGCAATGTACCAAGTTGGGAATCATACATAACATTGTAGAAGAGGACGCAAGATTAGGTCTCTCTGTCGCTACGATTAAGTTGTAAAAATGAGATCAAATCAAAAGTATGTATGAGAGTAGGGTTTCGAATATGGTGAATACATCTCAAAAGTATGTAGCCTGAGGGGACAGCGAGCAAACAAAAGGCCACACCATCTTGGTCATGATATCCAAGAAATAACTAAATTTAGAGTACTTATCAGACTTGATGATAAATGAGAAAGTAAAACGAAAATAAAATAAACACCAACATAATCTATTTAAACGTAAGAACACATATTTGAGTTTAACATGATAAGATTACGACATTATATATTGATTTTCGAAATAAGTATTATTATCTTAACATATTAAATGAAACAATTGACCACAGACTTCATTAATTGTATACTTGATTTGATACGTAACTTGATGCTGATCTTAGCGAGTCTTCGATAATACAAACTATCTAAACTAGCCGAAATATATTCGTGCATCAATAACGATATGTTTTGTAAAAATTAGCTGATTAAAAATGTGCAAATCACGTCAAAATGTCAGTCCACCATAAGCAAATCAACCTTGTGTGGGATAAAGCTAAACACGATAAAATGGTAGCGTGAGGTCCCCTGAAATTGTTTGAGATCCAGTTATCAGATCTGCTATCACCATAAGGTAATTATGTTGAGTTTGACTCTTAGAGAACATAATACATAATTGAATAACAGCAAGCACTGTATCCAAATAGGATATATGCATAATGATGATATAAAATAGACAATCAATGAATATGGTATTACGGTCTAATAAACTTATATTAGGATCACATTAATAATCTGAACCTGGTATTATTAGTTCGATCTCGTTTAGCGACTTGGTAGGAGTATCAGGGATACCTTGTGAAGCATAGACAGTCCTGCGTCCTATGTCATATTATTAATGATTTCCAGCATAGACACTGAAGTGTTAAATAACCATACGTTTCGCCGACATCGTCAATGAGTGAAACCATCGGTAGCACATAGTAACAACTGATCAAAGTGATAAGTGAAGGCAATCCCTTAGTCACTTTGAGAAGCTACAACTCTGTGCTAACGATTAGGCCTCACAGTGATGATGCTAAATGAAACGTCTGAGAATGGAACAAGTTAATGTTCCGATTCTGCAAATTACGAATACATGACTAGATGCACCCCAAAAGATATCCCTGACGCTACGAGGAAGTTGCGTAAACAAAGTAAAACCAGTAACGTGAAGGAGTCTGCGAACAAACAAAAGGCCTTGGTCTTCATTTCCACTATTCAAACAGTTTGTTATAGAAGTGTGCGTCAGCAAAATCCTATCAAAGTAATAAATTAAATAGGCATAAAGACATTTCAAAGATCTAAAATTGAAGGCCAATGTCCACAATTTCAGACTGAATAATACTCCCAGGATGCAATTTATTTATAGAAAGCAAATTAGAAGTACAACCTTATAATCACGTTCTAACTGACCTAATTATTGAAGAGTATTTCTCTGAATTAAAGAATTGAATTTATTTGCAATACCTGAAAAAGAATGAGCAGATATACAGATAATACACAACTTGCCTAGATGCAGTAAAGATACGATCCTTTTGAATGCGGATAGCATTGATGGCACCATCATGCGCAGTCTGCACCTCACCAAGAAAAGCACAATCTTCGACCCGCCATAACTTCAGAGTACCACCTCGACAACCACTAACCAAAATTGAGCCGTCTGTAGTAAGAGACATTCCCTAAAACGAATAAATAATACAAGCACCAATGATACGATAGTAAAATAATGAGGAAACCAGGAAAAATGAGAGTAAGTATAAAAACTGTGTTTCGAAGAATCCTTTATTATATTGCTGTTGGAGTATCTTTAATTTCTTTTTGAAAGGGCGAGTGTAAGGGATTTGTAAGTTGGTTCTTCCAAGGGGCTGTGTTTGTAGATTTGTGTGAATAGGTCCTCGGTGCATGGCCCTGCGACCCCGATAAATCCTTGCCGAGCCTTCGTCCGTCATATGGCGAAGTAGCTAGGTTTAAAAGATGCCCCTTTTTTTAAATCAGTCACATGACGAAAAAAGCTCATCAATGATTCAAAGGGATCGCAATTCTGTGCGCCAGACCTATTCGCACGTATCTACAACTACAGCCTCCGATGCTACCAACGTACGAATTATTTGCCCTCGCCTTTTCAAACGAAATGAAAGGTACTCCAAAATTAAAATGAGAGTAAGTTTGATAAACTTAAAAGTTACGTCACTATATAAATTATGCAGAGTAGATAAAAAGGAATCAAGCTAATTAGCTTAATGTGTCGAGTAAAAGAAAAAATAAGCCAAAACTAAAATAGCAAGTAAAAAAATTAAACTACGAGATTTATGTTAAAAAGACGAAATTATAGATAGTGAGCAACGAGCAATACAATTAATGTAATGGCTAGTCAGCACCATTTTTTTCTCCCAAGGCAATACAAAAAATCCAATCATTAAGACGTATAGGATGATAAGTAGTGATTCACAGCAGCTCAGTTTTATTTTGCACTTCCTGTATAGTTACCAATATCCAGTCCTTGTGCGCCTGTGAAGTAATGAGTTCTTGTCTGCCTTGAGCAGGGCAGAGGCGCCACTTCTTAATAGCCCCATCTCTTGAAGCGGAAAAAAGAAGGCCTTGTGGGTGCAAAGCCAGAGCAGAAATACCATCATAATGAGGAGGTTCCAACTCGATACTTGGTGTAAGGAGACCCGATGCGTCTGGAGGAACGCGAAACACTTTGATATAATGATCCTTAAAAAAAATAACAGAGGAAAAACCATATGTAGAAACTAAGAATCAACACATAGAATGGAGTCGATGAAAATGTCAAACGAATACAAGAAAATATCATTCGAAGGTCAAAATAAAGTAATCCTTATATATTGCTGCAGACTTAAACACGATAACGACAGTTGATAAGGTCTTCAATAGTTCCGGATAATAATATATGTAACGTTGTAAAAAAAACATAAAATTTATATTTCAGGGGAAACAGTCGAATTACATTTGAGTTAATATATAATAAGTAAAAATCTGCAAAACAATTTAACAAGAATAAATGTTTAAAGTAGTTAATTGAAGTATAGTCAATCTAGTTAAATACATGTGAAAAAGGTAAACTGGGAGATTAAATGTAGATATACCGATAACATTGGTATTGTATAGTAGATATAAAAAATAAAAACAGATTTCTTCACCTTCGAACCAGTGACAACTGTCAGACAGTTGGCATCATCGTGATCTGTGGATTCTTCATCCGTCAGCTGCTGTAATCCCGCAGCTAGCACCATCACAGGCGCCTGGTGGTTACCGTGAAGCTTGCCAACTGAGCAACCACGACGCAGATCCCATCTGCGAACTGAGTTTGCCGTAGCGATGAACATAGAGTCAGCATGTGCTCCATGAGAGCTGCCTAAAACTAAGTCCATAATGCTTGTCTCTCCAGCAGGCGGAACTATATTTTGACGGCGGGATCTGCTAGAATCTGGTGCGCCATCTTGACTAAGGCCACTTGAGCTGATTATGCCAAATGAACATTTTCGCAAAACAAAAAAAAATCAAAGATTAATGAGAATAGCTTGAATATTGAGATGCCAGCGAAAAAATTGAGGATGTAGCAAGTCAACAGTCCTATGCGGTAAATTATCATTAATACTATGGAAGAGGACAGAAGACTAGATACATTTACAACTGGTGAAAAAAAGTAGAACTAACACTATAAAGCAAAAGAATATAGCCACAAAATAAAAGCCCGCAATCTTGGTCTTCATACCTACGACGTAAAATTATGAAGTTTGTATACGAATAAGAACAACCACATTTATAAGGTGTGAACCCTATGACCCTCCATGGTGCAAAATCTGAATTTAAGGTTGTCTAAATCATGAGTATACACACTAATACTTAGTTTCCGTATGCATATGTTAATACTTAGCTCCTAATAATTAAAAGTCAGTATACTCAAATAAGATGGTTTTAAGAAAATCCGTTTAGGCTGAAATCAATGTGGTCATTTGGTGTCATAATAATGTAATCACTCTAAAATTTGAAGGAAGAATAAAGGATCTTAATATAAAAATAAGCACCACTTCATTAAGTAAAGGATGAATTCTATAAGGTAGAAATAAACTGATACATTTTGGAAAGATGAGGGGAACACGTAAAGTAATGAAAAAAAGAAGCTAGATAGATATGTTGAAGATAATAAATTCAATTATAAAAGTTATACATAAAGATGAGGATTTTGGAAATGAAGTAATAGAATTCACAATGGTATACAAAGACGTGATCTTATTAAGCTGATATAAAATAGTTCCTAGAAAAAAAATTTCAAGTATGCTTCAAAAGTGAATATTTTCATATAAAACCGTAAAGCTAAAAAAATAATAAAATTCTACTCTAGCCCAGCAGCGCTAGGGATCAGAATGCTTATCATAATGTTGAATATACAAAGCGCAGAAAAACGAAAATATTTTAGTCAATTT